GGAGACATAGAATCTGAAGAAGGCTACAGGCTCTGAGCTGTCAGCACAGTGTCCAACACGGGGCTCAAACTCACAAACTGTGAGATCATGACCTGAGCCGAAGTCAGGTGCTTAACCAACTGAGCTACCCAGGTGCCCCCTTACTAATCTTAAAATCGGAAAGTTCACCCTCATCATAATCTGCCATCCCCTTCCCCATCTCCCTTTTTGCTGGGCTCCTCAAGCATGCTGATCATTACTGCTCTCTTCCTTATACTCATAGCCAGTTAGTGCCAGCTTCACTTCCTTCCCTCAGCGACCATGGGAATGATTTACATTTTCGGGCACCTGAGTGGCTTAGTCAGTTGAGCATCTGATATTGGCTCAGGTCATGATCTCATGGTTCCTGAGTTTGAGTCCTGCATTGGGCTTACTGCTGTCAGCACGGAGCTCACTTTTGATCCTTGTCTCCTTCTCTCTCACTCTCTCTCTCTCTGCTTCTCCCCAAGTTACACTCTCTCTCTCTCAAAAATAAATAAACATTTAAAAAAAAAAAGACATTTTCAGCATCCTCTGTTGCCTTGCCTCTCCTCTGTGCTCATCCCACACAAGCATCTAGCGTTGGATCAGTGTAACTCTGCTCTCTCAGTTTGGCCCCCCTCTCCTCCAGAACCAAGCACTTGACTTTTGATCCTCATCCCATCCCTTCTCGCCCTAACTATGTTTGCCTTCAGCTATCCTTCTGTGCTACCAAATCCAATAACCCATTTTCGGTGCTTATCCTGTCTGACTCTTCCACAAAATTTGACACTATTGTTCCATTCTAGTTCTGTTTTGAAAATAACATGTTCCCTCGTGGACAAGTGATTCATTATCCAAAATTCAGAAAACAGAAACAGTAATTTAAAACTCCCAAAGACAGGGGTACCTGGGTAGCTCAGTTGGTTAAGCATCCAACTCTTGGTTTCAGCTCAGGTCACAATCTTGCAGCTTTGTGGGTTTGAGCCCCACATCGGGTTCTGTGCTGGCAGCAGAGCCTGCTTGGGAATCTCTGTCCCTCTCTAGCTGCCCCTCCCCCACTCGTGCTGTCTCTGTCTCTCTCAAAATAAATAAACTTAAAAAAATAAATAAAAACTCCCAAAGACAGAATACTTTTGCAGTGTATACATATATCAAACCATCATGATATACACATTAAGCATGTTATAGATTTGTCAATTCTACCTCAGTAAAGCTGGGGCAGGGGAAAGATCAGTAGTTGCCAGAGCTGAACAGGGATGGAGGAATAACAGGTGGAACACAGAGGATTTGGGAAGCAGTAAAACTACCCTGTATGATACGATAATGGTGAATACATGTCATGACCCTGTTGACTAAACCCATAGAATGTACAGCATCAAGAGCCAACCCTAAATAAACTGTGGACTTGGGATGATAATGATGTATCAGTGTGGGTTCATGAGTTGTAACAGATGTACTGGTGAGTGATATGGGTCGTGAGGGATGTTGAGGTGCATGTGTGGGGGCAAGAGGTATATCAGAACTCTCTGTACTTGCATTCATTTTGCTGTGAACTTGAGACCGTTCTAAAAAGTAAAGATTATTTTAAAAGTAAAGAAACAAAAACTCCCATAGGCAAACAATTCAGAGGGAACTACTGTGGTTATGATTTTTCTAGGATTTTCCAATGTATATAGTAAGTGTTTGTACACCCACAGACACCCACACTCTTGTCACTTAATATGTTAAAATTTTCCACGTTAACAAATATTCTTCTAGAGCATGATTTAAATTAAATGGACAATATTCCATCGCATAGATGTGCTATGGTTTACTTAAATAACTGCCTCTAGCTGAGTATTCAGATTATTTCTAATATATGACTGTCATTAGTAATGCTATGATTTACACCTTTACATGTAAACTTTTGTGTGTAGGTATGATAATTACCGTAGAATAAATTTCTAGACATAGGAATTGTTCAAAGGGTACTTACACATTTTGGACTCTGGATACACATCAGTAAATCTATTTCCAGAAAGGTTGCAGCAATGTATTAACACCTTAGAAATGTTACAAAGCCTGGAGGTTAAGAGTATGAGCTTTGAGTTCTTTATGCATCCCTGTCACTGACCCTGTCTTCGTCTTTCTGCCCAAAATATCATGTCCCAGTTTTCATCCCTTTTGTGTCTTCCTTGGACAAGGTCTTCCCTATTGATTTTACTCACTCAGTTGGAACCAGAGGCTGATGACTGCAAGATGATCTCTAACCACCCTCCCCTCCCCCTGCCATCTCAATTATAACTTGAACTGAGGCTTGTTTCACTCAAATTCCTGTATTCCCCACATCAAGGGACTCCAGCCACTCTTACTCAAACCAGAGACTTCCATGTTATCCTCGGGAAGGATGGGAGAACACATATTCTCAGCTCCCCAGAATAAAAACATCTTTTGGGGAACTACAATAATTTTTGGTAAACAAAATTCTGGCTTATTTCACTGGCAAACAGCCTAGGGTTTGTGTTTCTCCCTCACCAGCCTCTCAAGCTGTCTCTCTCCTGGTTTCTTTCACTCACTGCATGTTCCTTGTCTTCTTGCACCATGACCTTTCTCCTCAGCTGCTTCAGATCTCCTAGGAGAGGTTAGAGTGGGGCCACGGTGGTCCCAGAGCTGGCAGAGGCATTTGTGCCTCCTTCTCCACACCGGTTCAGGACTACCGACAGTTGTGTGCCCCTCAGCAAAACAAACCCACACATTCCCGTGCTGCCCTGGCCAGCCCAAGTCTGTAGCTTAGACCTCCCAGACCTCTCAGAAATCGACTTCCTTCTCCTCCTGCTCACTAGCATCCCAATAATTCAGATTTAGCCTTAGGGAGAGGAAGAAAACCACTTTGTTTCTTTTGGAGGATAACTTTGATGGATGTGTTTGTTATTGTCTGACTTCCTTTGAACCAGTCTCTCCACTTTCAAGGCTGATATTGGAGTCTTATCTGAAAGGGAGGATGTTAACAGTACCGATCTGTAAGGTTTTAATAAGTATATGAGATAATACACGAAAAGGTGCTGAATAGTGTGCTGGACATAAAGCAAACACACAGCAAACGTTAGCTAATCATCGTCACTGCCATTACTGTCACTGAAGATCCACTTGTAAGGACCTAAAGCTGCTCTTCATTTCTCTAAACAGAGTCAGTTGTTGGTTTTTCTATAGTATTTTGAACATTCTTTACTTGGACGCTTATTTTATCTTAACTATTTCTATTTTTGCTCTATATTGTGAGCCCCTCAAGCAACTATTTAAATTCATTTTTATATCCTCAAAACCCAGCAATGTGTCTGGTGCATAGGAGGTGGTAAATAAATAGATATTGGAAGAATCCTGACTCTTAGCTCACACTCTTCTCAAGAATCATTTCCAGTTTGACTGAAGATCTGAATGTGAAAGCTAAAACAATAAAGATTCTAGGAAGAGAATAAGAGAGTATCTTCATGAGCCAGGAGCAGAGGAAGATTTCTTGAACAAAACAAAAATAGTACTTAAAAAAAAAGAAACTAACATATTGGTATCAAGAATAGAAGACAGAAATGCTGAGGCATAGGAGCACATGTACCCCAATGTTCATAGCAGCACTCTCCACAATAGCTAAAACATGGAAAGAGCCTAAGTGTCCATCAACAGACGAATGGATCAAGAAGATGTGGTTTATCTATACCATGGAA